GGAGCAGAAAGCAGAGCAGCAGATCAAGTAAAAGAAAGGGATCAGAATGGGGAGGTGTGGGGCTAATTTGTGGCACACCTGCCAAAAAGGTTGGCCTTCACTGATTTACTACATGAATAAACAGTACCTAGCACAATGGGGGCCCAACCTGTTGAAGACCGCTAGTTGCCACAATACAAATACTTTCTTCTATTATTATTTAATATGGCAAACTACATCTTATGCCATAATGCTAAAATCATTGTCTTTAATATTTTTGACTGAGTGCATGTGTGTAGAAGTGTCAGAGAAGAGAGTGAAAGTGGGCTGGAACAAAGACAAAATTTACATTTTGATTTGTTCAAATTTCAGAACCTCCAAATGGTGCATTAAGTATCTTCATTTTTGTTTCCCACATTAGCAATTATTGAGTTTGTTTATACTCTTGTGCCTAGTGAACTTGGTCAGATTTAAAATTGAGAGAGCTCTTTAGAGAACATGTTAGCACCAGTTTAAAGTAGTTCCCCCTCCACACCTCTATAAACTCACTCAACCTTAATAAATCCTTTCTTGGATATAATCCAAAAATAGCTATTCAGTCATGAAATCTTAAATCATTCATGCATGTGTATTTGCTATATTATCTTTCATATCCTATATAAAATATCTAAACACAAAGTAATATAACCACCACAAAGTTCATAGGTTTTTTCTTTGTGGGTCATGTACTCTATCCTAGTATAAGTAGTTTACCGTGACAGTGGAGCTGGATTAGACAGCAAACACTACTAATCTCCTCATAAATTTAATCTTCATGATTCGTGTTTGGTTGTATCCAGATATGAACAAGTTTACATTAAAAAAAAAAATCAAACAATCTTTGCAAAGCATGTAAAGGTCAGATACTATGCAATTAGACACTGAGCCAAATTTGATTTCACTTTCTGTCAAAAATAAATGCATTGTCAGTGACTCAGTGCTGGCTATGTATTCTGTGACTAATCTTAGACCACCATAAATAAGAAGCTGACAACAGCTATAAAACTGTTTCCATTCCCAACCATGAATCTCCAATTCCTAGTAGCTAGAAAACAATTCATCCAAACACATAGTTGAGGAAATGTTGACCTGATAACAACTAGCTTGTTGTAAACAACTAAAAGTATCTACATTTAAACCAAGTTTCAACATTTAAACAATAGCAAGAGTTGGAGCTGCAACAGTTTTGGAGGAAGAATTCCAATTTTGTAACTGAGGAGTTTAGTCTTGCATTGATAAAAAATATATAAGGCACATGATATTTCAAATTAAGAAAAGTGTTTTAATATTTTATTAATAATATCAATAATGAGGTCAATTTAATTTAATATATAATCCATTATATGAATTGCATATTGTTTGTACAAATAAGGGGTGCCAAATTCACGTGGGCTCCTGGGCTGGATCTGGATGTTGGAGGTTCTCCTGGACAGGATCCGAATATGGCAATGGCGTGGGAACACCAGGATTAACACAGCCATTGCTTGCATCCTGCTCCCACCAACACACAACTACATCAGGGCTTCTAGGCTGTGAATTTAGCAGCAGACCCTGCTCCTACCTGCCCCACCTTTTAATTCCCAGGCCTCTGGGATCTCCATGGGCTGGATGAAAGAGCTTTGTGGACCAGATCCAGCCTGCAGACCTTATCTTTGACACCCTTGGCATATATTAATAAAAATATTTCATTAATATTATTAATAAAATCAAAATTAATTTTAAAAAACCACATCTCCAAGTAAAAATATTTGTAATGTAGGGTCCCTCTAGACTGTCTTCCCCAGCCCAGGGTGCATTCATAGCATCTCCAAAACCTCTCCAGACCCTTTCTTTAGGGTACCATTGATTGGCTGCAACCTAATAATCTTCAGCTGATCCCAACATAAAACAGTTCAATACAAGTCCAACAGCCAACCTTCCCTGACCCAGAAGCTTCCTTGCCAGAGCTCCCTGTTCCTAGGTCTTCCACAGTCCTTTAACAGGCTATCTGTTTGGAAGCCCTCCTGGTCCAGAGCTTCCCACAGAGGCCAACCTACACTTCCTGTTACTTTGTCCCAAACAAGTTCTCTCAGCCTTTATAACAGTCAAGTGCTCCTCAGTTTAGTCTGACAACTTGTAAGCTACTAGCCATAGATCTATTCCAAACATGATTCTGTCTCAGAATTGAGTGAGCCATTATCCTGGCCTCTGGCTTTTTGAAGAGCCTTGTATTCAACAATGTTCTGAAGCGTACACTTACCAGTCTACCAACCCCTTTTCAAACCAGCATTTAAGTTCACATGTCACTTTGATCTTAAGTGGTATTAAATGTAAAGGGACTAAAGCATATGCTTAAAGTTTAGCCAGTTTGCTGTTTAGATAGGGTTAGGTACAGTCATCTCTAATGACTTCACTGAGATGGGAGTCTAGTGGGAACATTTCTATTGACCCGAGTATGACTTAGACTGAACCTGAAAAGGACATCTGTAAATATGTAAATCTATACTTTGATACTTTCTAATATTTTCCAAATTTATAACTATGATCTAATTGTAATAATCTAATTTATTGTAAAACTGGCCATTTGACCAACATAGCTCTTTATTCCATTTCAAACTAATTTCAGTAGCTATCCCAATATATGCGAATATAGTCATTCATAGGTACTTGCTGAATAGTTTGGACAAAATTTTCAATTTATGGCCTGTACAGGGTTTGCTAAATTCAAATATTCACTATTCATCATTTAGAACATGTCTTCTAAGTCATTTGGAAGTGTCATCTCCCTTGAAATATTTGCATATGTAGTTGTAGGAAATGACTGATAACAAATAACAAAGGAGCAAATATTCTTGTTTAGATATAAATACGCTTGTTCTCATAGGAATGTGTATACTATTACAATGGACAGACATGTCCCCAAACATTCATGAGAACAAAATAAAATGCTCTTAAGCAGGGGAACACAAAGACTTCTAAAGCCTAGTCAAACAGAACAGCCAATCAGAATATGAATTAAATTTCATGAGGACACTTCTAGCAATAGTCTTCCAGCTGTGCTATCCCATTATCTGCTCTTTCCTCATTCAAGGCTTATTAAAGATATCCCATATCACAGTCTCCCAGAAAAATTTTAATTCAAAGAATAAAGTCATCCAACATTTTAAGTTCCTCAAAAAGAAAAATAGGTAGAGTTAGTTCCCAGGTCTATACAAATGAAAGAGGACAGAATAGAGATAAACGTATTTCTGGCAAATTCTCTCTCTTTCTCTTCCTGAGCCCCTTCCCAGTGTTTGTCTTGGATTAAAATCTTTCCAAAATTTTAAAAACTATTAATTACTAGAAGGTTTCTGGCAAAAAGTAGAAAAAATCCACTTCTTTCATATTTAGGCAAAAACTACCAGGGTACTTGCATTCCCAAAACATTTGACAAGTTCTGCTGACTTAAAACTTATTAAAAATGTTACTTCATATAATGCTTTTGAATATTTCCAAGGAAGTAATGTAAACAATACATGTATATTGCTGTCTGCAGCTTACAGAGTGCTTCTTTGAAAAAAAAGTAGTTTGTAGATTTATACTGATTGAGAATTAAGTGATGAGCCTCTACAAGGGGGAAGGGCTGACCTAGACCAAAGGTTTAACACCACATCTCCTACCTCCAGGAGAGTAGGCGATTCTGAATAGGTGGGGCAGAAATTTTCCCTCTCCCCTCCTACCGAGGTCAGTGTATAACCTAATGGTTATTGCACTCTCTTGGAGGTGGGAAATACAGATTTGAATCTCCATCATGCTGAAATTCAAGAAAATTAAATGAAGACTTCCTACTTCCTAATGTATAGGCTATAGTATAGATACAGAAGATGGACAACAACATCACAACAACTGGCTGTGTTGTTAAAATAAAGTAACTGTGATTGTGTGGGGTCTGATCCTGCTGATGTTAGCAAGCCCTATAGGGACTTAGATGTAGATTCAAGATAGACATCAGGAGGCACTACTTCACAGTCAGGGCGGCCAGGATCCAGAACCAACTTCCAAGGGAAGTTGCTCACTCCTACCCTGGGGGTCTTCAGAAGGAGGCTAAATAATTACCTAGCTGGGATTGTTTGACCCCAGCATTAATTCCTGCCCATGGCAGGGGGTCAGACTTGATAATCTGCTCAGGTCCCTTTTGACCCTACTAACTATGAAACTAACTATGAAACTATGCCACGTTGCTTAGTTTCTAGATCCAAACTGGCAGCCGACAGACTTGACGTTTTGCTGCTGGCACTCAGGCAGTTCTAGGCAAGTACAGAACTGAAAGCACAGGTGACTTTGGATCTTTCAGATTGAACAGGAAGGCATCTAATGAGCTACTGATCCTTCCACAGTTAGGCAGCCATTCAACAGGCAATTTTTGAGGTACCTGGTTCCTGTTCAGGTGCCTAGTATCTTTTTGGATCTGGCATGCTTTTCCTACTAAAAAAATCCTACTCATTTGTCAGTTATAAAGAACATTTGGGGATGTTAAATGATTTTATTTATAACTTCTATTGTTGAAATTCCAATAAGTCACAGTATGGAATAATTAACATTAAAATACAAGACATTATTTGCTGAAATACCTCCCTTTCAGATAGAACTGTCAGAATGAGAGTATTAAATGAGGTGAAACTATACCTGATCTAACTATGAGCTAATCAATACTGGGATTGGATTGTAGGATAACATATGAAAACAAGACCTAGCATGGCAAACGCTTACTTTTTTATCTTTAAGTCCTACTGGGCAATTAAATTTTACTCCCCACCCCTTGGACTCAGAGCTAAGGGCACTTTAAGATGGGGATGGATGAATGGGCCCTGTTTTTCACCATATTAAACTGTGAATTAAACTCTGATTATGTTTTGTTAAGGGAAGACTCAGCTGCTGCAGTAAATGCAAGGAAGGCATCAAAGGTCTGAATAATTTAATTCCATTTAAATTAAACAACATGTGAACTGAATAAAAATGGTTACCTCTTTCTGGAAATGTGCTGGCATTACAGATCTGCTCTTCTCCTTCACCAGCCAATGTTGCAGCTCTTATTTTAAATTGGTAAGAAACATTTGACATCAGATGTCTGAAAGTGTGCACCGTGTCATAAAAAGAAAAGTTTGTAGAATTTCCTTCAGAACTTATGATGTAATGAGTAATGATGCCATTTGACTTGGAAGGTGGGTCCCACTGCACTAGAACTGACTGCCAACTAGTTGCAGTACACTGAACATTCTGGACAATATCTGGAACTTAAAAAGTTACACAGGCACCAAAAGGTTAACATTGCCACACACTTAACAGGGTAATCACATTACAATATAATTAGAGAAGGCGGCGCAATGCTTATAATAGGGATTGGGCATTCTGATGACAGACAAATTGATACTGTAATAAAAACACACTATATCTTATATGAAAAATGTCTTTGATGGTACTTACTAGAGGCTTTCTTCCCAGCAACTATGAACATGACTGAAACAAGGCTTGAAATGGAAACAGTGATAGCACATTAGGCTCCCTAAAACCAGCCATGTGCACTTTACTCTCTTGTCCTCCCTTACACTCCCTTAGCCTGATTTCTCTTCAATGCTGTACTACACCTGCAATCGGTATAGTAAGACTATCTCCTCCTCTGGAGTTACAAAAAGTTTCTATATCGCCCCCAACTCTTTCCATTCTCCACCGCATGAGTTCTTTTTAAGGCTCAGGTATAGCTTATGAAATGTAATAGGTAAAAACAATATCACATTGAAAATGAAAAACAGCAGGAACAACTGGTTAAATTCCCCCAGGGAAGTTAGATTGCTGGATTTCCAAAGTAAGAGAGAAGAAAAAATAGTGAAAGTTTCTTTTCTCTCTCCCCTGACATCATGTCCAACAATAAGGAAAAGACTAGCTCTGATGTACAGGAAAAGGAGAAAAAGCTACTAAGGCTCTCCCTGTGCCATCAGAGTTCTAGAGACAAGGTAACATTTGCAGGTGGGGGGATTTTTTTTTTTTAGCGGATGATTAATTAAGTAAGTTCAGTTATAGTTGTCTTCCCAGTTAATCAGGAAGAGCAAAATGGGACAAAGTAGGAAGTTTAATTAATGACTGTCTTCCCCCCACCCCAAAGCAAGTGATCAGAATAGTTTAAAAGATTGGATTGATTACAAGATTTTTTTTTAAAGCAGCACCTAATTTATTTGCCAGCTCTACAGCCAGCTGCTGGGGGTACTGCTTGAAATGGTGGTTTCTTAATGCTCCAAAATATCATTTTGTACATCATTTTGGTCTTCAAGTATTATATTTATATTACTTATGGTGTTACCAAAAGATTTATAATAGCCATGTAAGCCTCTCTTTTCAGTAGAGAATGCCTTCTATTTCCAGATTTCCACTGCCAGCTTTCAAACTGGTGAGATAATTATTATATGCCAGGGAGGGTATAATGGGGTGGACCACTCCAGACATGTTCCATTTCTATATTTTGCCTCTAGAGTATCTACTGCTTGCCCCTGATGGAAACAGGATGCTAGGCTGGACAGGTCAGTGGTCTGACCCAGTCTAACTCCAGGCATATTGGGTACAATAAGAATGTCAACAGAGAAATGAAAATGAGATAGCTTTATGGTGCATTCAATTTGGAGAGTAAAAGGAAGAACACTGTTCAGTTATAAAAGGAAATCTGCACAGAAAAAATTGAAGTTAATAAAAAAGAAATGTGTTCTAACCTGATTCCTTTGTTGTGAATTTGATGATGTTACTGAACTGATTGCCATTTCCAACTTTTGTAAAGGCTGAAATACTGATAAAATAAGTGCTGAATGGCTCCAATCCAACAAGGTTTGCCTCATTTTGTGAACCTGAAACATTCTTTCAGGAGAAGAAAACATTTGTTACTAGAAAAGTAGTACAAACCCTGTACCTACTGACATCAATGAGAATATTAGTACTGCACTCTTTCTTCTCCAATAGTCTGTTATCACCTAAAAGAGCTAAGGCAAAGCAAAGTCAAGTTCTTTATCCTGATACGCATTATGTGTATGAACACATACAATATTTTGATACATGAATGCACATTTCATTTACTTGTTCAAGAATTCATTTCTTTTCATTTTTTTCAGAAATACCAAGATAAATATCAGAAGAAAGGAGAGACCAAGAGCTTCTCTAAAATGCAGCAGTCAAGAAGCAGTAATTGTATTTGTCTGCTGCTTTCCTTGTTTCTGAGGGACTGCTTAGTGTACACTCAAATTTTTTAGTAAAACAACCCACCTAGCAGATCATTTACTGCTAGAAAACACAGCTTCTTCCCTCCTTACACTTCCTTCCATTTGTGAGGAAGATCTGTCAAAGCAAGCCATTAAATTGAATAATACATATGCACAGTGAGACAGACACATATCTTCTGATAACTGTATCTTGCCATGTCTAAACTATACAAAAAAATGAAATCTCAAAAAGGTTAATCAAATGCACCTTTTTTGTTCCAAAATATAATGCATGTTTGTACCCATCAGCAGTATCATGGTAAAGGATCTGACCTTGAGAGCTGATGGCACAGCCACTCCACAATACTACCCCCAATCTCTCTCCATTCTGTGCTACCTGCATCACAACTACATCTCAGAGAATGGGCAGGACACCCATTTGGTGGTAGTTTCTAGCACTGACTTGGTGCCAGTCTAAAGAGTCATTTTTGGCTAACTTTTGGCCTTCCTCTTCTCATCCCCTTCTCTCCTCTTCAAGAAGTAGAGAAGAGAGAGGTAGTTAGCAATGTTAGTCTGAAGTCAAGAAGAAAGCAGGGCAAGGCAGCACCTTGGAAACTAACTCATTCAGAAAGGCATAATCCTTTAGGTGACAGCCTACTTCTATCCTGAAGCTCCTGATGAGATAGAAGTAGGCTGTCATCTTTGAAAGCGTATGCATTTCTGAACAAGTTAGTCTCTAAGGTGCCACCCTGCCCTGCCTTCTAGGAGAATCAGAGTAAAAGAGATGAGTGTAATAGATTTTCTGTTATCTGAGACAAAAGAATATTTTAGAGGGATAGGGCAGGACACGTAAAAATACAGGCTCTCTCAAAAGAGCAGCTACTTCTGTGACACTCATAGCCACCTATAGATATACATTCAGAAATATGTGTTAGAGCTGCTCAATTCCAGCACGAAAGCAGGTGCAGGTTTGTCAAAATAAATCTGTTATAGGGTGCAGCTGCAATGTCCCTTCATGCATGGCTCTGCCTGTCCCACTACTGCAAGTCATCAATGAAGTGTGATGGTCTCTGATAGAGGCTATCTGATCGTCTCTATCAAATCTAAATCTGCCTGCTGTCTCATGATGCACGTGATGTGCAAGCCATTCTGGACTGATCCTGAGCACTGGATCTGGCACTCAGGGCTAGTCTGTGGACCCAATCTGCATTGGCCTCAGATGCAGCATGTATGTAGTGTGTAAAGCTGATGTGTGCTGCCTGTGGTGCATGGGTCTTGTCCAAGACCCACAGGAAGCAAGGCAGCACCGCAGCTCCATGGGTTGGATCTGACCAATGGACAGAATCTTTGACACTCCTAAGTTCAAATATACTCATTACTTTGTTCACTTAAAGTTTTATTTTGGCTGAAAGATGCCATTACAAAAGCAATCCGCTACAGTTTCTACCCATTTTGCAAGTCAATTTAAAATCCTTTTTTTTCCTTTTGTTTTTGTTTGTTTTTTAGGTAATTCAGAAATGCTTGAATAGTAAACAAAGGAAGTGAAGAATCATAAAACGGGGCCATTTTTTGTTTTTTCCCTAATATCAAACTCAGGGTATGAAATATTGGCTGAGGGCAAAGCAAATATCATGATTACATTAATGAAATGCTGAATGTTCAAAAAAATAAAAACCCTAATAATTTTTACCTTATCATTTTATCTTAATTTTCTTTTTTAATAAATTGCATGCGTCAGTTCATACACTTTTTATTAATACATAGCTAGACATTTAAAATATCATATTTTATTCTTGAGATACGAGTCAGATAGTCAGAAATCTAATATGTATTTTTCCAAATTACCAAAACCCAACTAAATGTTGCAAACATACCTGAAAAAATAGGTTTTTGTTATTGCCTTGGTGAATCTTGAAAGTATATCTCTTAATAACACCATTTGGCTGAGGACTTGGATTCCACTTTAGCCACACAGAATCTGCTGTGTAGTTGAGAATAGTCAAATTCTGAGGAGGCGCTAATGGAACTGAGAGAGGACATGCTAATTAGTTCAAATACATTTTTCCAATTTAGGCAAATACAAACAAGCAATGCAGATTTATAAATATCCATATCTACATTTACAGAACCTATATTATGTTAATATTTTAATAAAGGTCGTACAATTTTTGTGAAGTCTAAGTAGGAAGAACTAGTCTTTCCTGTCTATCTGTTGATGTTGTACCTCATTTAAACAAAAACATTTTTTCAAAACTGGTGAAGTACACACATTTGGCAAGAAAACAAAACAGACAAACTTATCAGGAAATGTTTATATTTGCTACTTAAAGTTGCCTGCACTATGGCAGCATGAGATGTATAATTTGAAACAAAGAAAGACATAGAAAAAGTTTCTAGGAGGTTAGGAATATTTTAGGGGGTCTAAGAAATATTTTCCTTGTTTTTGTTTTGTTTTCCTGCACAGGTCAGATGTGGATATTGGTTGGTTTATTTTGAAAATCCTTGGGTTATAATGCCTTCCAAAGGCGAAAAGAAATCATTATTTAGGGATAGTTCCACAGTCCTGAATTAGCCCTGCACTTTTCTACAGTAAAATCTACAAGCAAAGGCTGGAGAAGGAAAACTCAAAAAATATTTCCCCTACAGAATTCCCCTCTTTCACCAGGATGTTGCAGGCTTGGCTACCAAAGAAACTGCAGCACGTCTTGCCTGAACTGCAAGGAGTTTAGAAGATCTGCCAAGGGCCTCGGCCGCTTACAGACAGCCCTTGATTTCCACACCACCTCGAGGGCCACCTGAGAACTCTTTCCTGACCTCTAGGAACCCTGCTCCTTACTCCATGCTTGGAGCCTTACTTAGAGTTGTGATTTGAAGAGTACAGGGAAGGGAAATAAGTGGTTATCTGTTTAAAAATTGCAAATTCTCTGATTAAAACCCCCCAAATCCACATTTTTCCACAATTAAAATAAAATTCCACTATATATATAGGTATCATTTGAACACAATGTTTTATTGATATATTTACAATCTTAAAGCTATTTGGAAGCCAACCACTGCCTCAATCACTAGAATAAAATACATTCTAAATACCTACTAATTTTGGCATTAGATTTTTGGTTTTTTATAATGGAAAATCAGAGCTCTCCCTGCCCCCTTCACACACCAGGATGCAGTCCTCCAGCTTCTGGCTGCCATTGTCAGGAGGCTCAGGCAGGGGGGTAGGGGAAGGGAGCCCCCCGTCATGAGGACACTCCTCCCCTTCCTCCCCCCCCAGCCCTGGGAAGGCCTGGGCAAGGTCTGCATGTCAGGGGGACTCCCAGCCCAGCTCCCTGTCTGGGGAACAAGGCACCCAGCAATGCCTGTTTGCCTGCTGAAATCTACAAATGTGCCAACAACGAATTACGTCAAAAGCTTCATGAAGCTACACTGCTCTGTTAGAAAGAGGAAGCAGTACCACAACATTTCAAAGATTCTTGGTTTGAACAATTATATAAAAAAGAAGGGACTGTGACTGTAGAGGTATCTCCCTGTTGAACTGCATTGGAAAATTGTCACTCGCATCATGCTCCCTAGGCTGAAATCTCTATCCTGAAAAGACTCTATCGTGAATGTCAATGCAGTTTTCACCCAGGATGATCCACCATTGATATATTTTCAGTGAAGTGGCTGCAAGAGACGCATAGAGAAAAATCAATACCACTGTATATAGCCTTCATCAATCTGACAAAGGCCTTCAACACGGTCAACAGACAGGGCCTTTTTGCTGTTGTAAAGAAATTGGTGTAGCCCAGGTGGTACTCAATTTATATACCCCTTCTCCAAATGAAGGGAATGTTAGTGGGGCAGGAGCACTGGGGAGATGTGGCTGCTCAGCTGGGTACAGCTTTCCTCCTCCCCTATATATAACAGAGTCAGGACACGTATTGGGACTTAACTATATACAATTGAATAAGAGATAAAGTTAAAATAGGACATATTAACAGAGGATATAGGAACCATAGGCAATATATGTACAAATCAATACAAATACTCTATATACAGGTGAGAGAGCAGGTAATCAGAAAGGGGAGTCTTAGCAAACGTTATGCATTCTCATACTCTAATAGGGTGCAAGGTTTACAAAGCATGAGGTGCAGAGCCCAAGGTAGAGAAAAGGCAAGCTGCACTAGGGTACTGTTGGTGACCTGGGGCAGAGGGCCCCCGAGAAAGGGAAATGGGAGCACCCTGATGTCCCTGCAGCACCCTACTACCTTACTTAAATAACCCAGTGGGTGGGGCCTTAATCTCTAACCCATCTCCCTTGCCTCCTTCAGGGGTTTCCCGATGGCTTGCCCGGATGAAAGGGCCCCCTCCCCTGTGGGAATTCCTTTCTTGGGAAACTCACACTCCTGGGACCCACAGAGGCTCTCCTTGTCACCTGGTGGAGCATTTCTTCCCTCTTCAGGGCCTCGGGTATTTCGTAGGGCTCTCCCAGCCGGCCTGCTCATGGCCTTGTGCACCATTGTGTGCACCAATGGCCTTGCCTCGTGCAAGCTGTGGGAGACCCAAGCCACTTTGTGCAGTGCTGGAGTCTTGGTCAGCTCCAGGGGCCTCTATGCACTGATCCATGCACCAATGCTGTGCTCCCTCATGGCAGGACTGAAGGATGTGGATGCTTGCTGTTCCTCATCTGGTGAGTCTCTTCGGGCTCTTCTGGGGCAACCACTCCGTCCTGCTGGCCAGCTCTTCCAGCTCTTCTTAGCCCTCTTCTCAGTCCCTCATTGCAGCCACCCAGGTGTTGGGCATGCTGACTTTTTATTCTCTTTGGAGGCTCTGCCCACAGATTACGAACAGAACAATCAGAGAGAAAGGGGGTTAGTCCCCTCTCCAGTCCGGCTCTTCACTTCAGCCCTGGGTAGGAGCAGGGCAAACTTTTCTCCTTGCCTTTCCTGATTGGTGGAGAGTGCCCCACCAATCACTTAAAACCTCTCTGAAGCTGGCGCACTGGGCTGCCGCCAGCAAGCCCACCACATGACCCCCTTCTATGACCAGGTCACATACTGCCTGGACATGGGAGCTGAGGCTGATGTCATCTTCCTGGACTTTAGGAAGGCCATTGACAACAGTTTTTCACCCTATCCTCATTGGGAAGCGAGCAGACTGTGGAGTGGACGCCTACACGGTCAGGTGCGTGGCCAACTGGCTTAGGGACCGCACCCAAAGAGTGGTGGTGGATGGTTCCTTCTCGGCCTGGAGGGAGGTGTGCAGCGGGGTCCCGCAGGATATGGTCCTCGGACCGATATTACTTAATATCTTCATCAGCGATTTGGATGAGGGTGTGGAGAGCACCCTCTCCAAGTTCGCTGATGATACCAAGTTATGGGGCAAAGTTAGTACACCAGAGGGCAGGGTGCAGATTCAGGCTGACCTGGACAGGTTGGATCAATTGGCAGAGAGAAATAGGATGCAATTTAATAAAGATAAATGTAAGGTACTCCACCTGGGAAGGAGGAACCCCCAACACACCTACAGGTTGGGGACTGTCCTTCTCAGCAGCTCGGAGGTAGAGAGGGATCTTGGAGTCATAATTGACTTCAAGATGAACATGAGCCGGCAGTGTAAGAGGCCATCAATTAGGCCAACCACACCTCGTCGTGCATTAGCAGGTGCATGACTAATAGAACAAAGGAGGTGATGCTCCCCCTCTATGCAGCACTGGTCAGGCTGCAGTTGGAGTACCAATTCAAGTGGGATGCGGACAACCTGGAGAGGGTTCAAAGAAGAATCGCTTGTTTGATTAGAGGCCTGCAGGGAAGGCCCTATGAGGAAAGGCTAAGGGACCTTAACCTCTTCAGCCTTTCCAAGAGAAGGCTGAGAGGAGACCTTGTGGCATCATACAAATTCATAAGGGGAGAGCAACATGAAGTAGGAGATGATCTGTTTACCAGGGTACCCCCTGGAACAACAAGAAACAATGGCATAAGCTACTGGAGAGAAGGTTTAGACTGGACATTAGGAGAAAATTCTTCACAGTAAGGGTTGCCAGGATCTGGAATGGGCTTCCAAGAGAGGTGGTGCTATCACCTAGCTTGGAGGTCTTCAAGAGGAGGCTAGATAGTCACCCGGCTGGGGTCATCTGACCTCGGTCCTCTTTCCTGCCAGGGGCAGGGGGTCAGACACGATGATCCATTGTGGTCCCTTCCGACTCTACAATCTATGAATCACACTGGGTTGTCCTCCCAAACTGTTGAACATCGTTTGCTCATTACATTAAGGTATAAAGACAACTGTAGTCTATGAAATGAAAGAATCAAATGCCTTTGACATCAACAATGGAGTGAAATAGGGATGTATCTCAGCCCCTGTGTTTTTTAACATCTGCTTTTCATTCCTGC